AACTATTTGAGGGAAATTAATGGTAAATTGATCCAAAACCAGGTGTCAAATTCTTGACAGAATAGCTTCCTAGCTGAAACCAAAAATTGCCAACATATGTACGCTGATTTTATTAAAGGGACTTACCATAGAAATTTCGTTTAAATTGCTTCAGAAACAAGATCGTTGCGTTTTGCACATATGCAACACAATTTTTTGGCTTTGACAATTTTTTTCTCCGTTTTTTGATAATATAACCCGGCCCAATTTTTTGTAGGTTGTACACAGGAAAATAAGGTCTTCCAAATAATAGAATAAAAATTTTAGGTTGCTATTTGAAAAAAAAAGTTCGTTGCCGTTACGGCCGGCGCTCCAAAATTTCTTTTCAAAAATCCGGCCCGTTATTTTTCTGTTCGGTATGCCTAAAACATATATACAAAATTTCAACAAAATCCGTCGAGCCGTTTTCTCAGAAAATTGCCAACAAACGTACATACGTACGTACATACAGACGGAAAAGAATTTTATTCTTTAAAAGTTGCTTAAAATGGTCTAAAACGTCGACATTTGATGAAATTTTGAAATGTTCAAAAAACGGCTATCGCAATAGCTACCTAGCATGTAATTCTAATAATTTTGCTTTGTATCCAAAGGGGGGTGTGTATGAAATTTAGTTTTGTTGCTCAATTTAATGGGGAAAAATGCGGTGTAAACAATGTTGGTTATGGACGTTGAAGTTTAGACCTACGCATTTAAAGGAATACGGGCCGTTTAAATTTAAACAATTGCTTCTTACTATTCGTTTAATCAATTGCATTGAATTGTGACAGCTCCGGCGTGATTTATTAGATTTTTCGTTTATTTTATATAAGATTAAGGTAATTGTCTAAAGATAAGGTGACTTTTTAATCAGAAAAAACTGTAGATTGCATAGAAATGTTTTAGTTTAGATAGTTTGGGTGTCCGAATTTTGTTGGGATATTGTAACTCGAAAACCGCAAGTTATTTAAGATTACTTTGTATTTTTTCAATTTTGTATTTGAACGCATATGCGGGGTCTGTTTATTCGGACACCGTAGCCTAATGTTTGTTAAATAGGATTTTATGCTTAATTTTATGTCTCATTCTACAATAAAATTTGTCTGTGTAATATCACGCAAGTGGTTGTTTATTGCGGCCCCTTTAACGATTCAGATAAATCTCTCATGCTCAATTGTGTTAAATTCTATTGATTCGCGCTCAAAGTTCATTTCAAGTGTTTTCAAAATTTTTTAACTAACGGTTTTAGTAGATTCACATGCGTATTTATTCGAGTTCATTCAAACCAGAGCATTAGCCTATGAATTTCAGATTTTAAGAGGAAATAAGGGGCCAGATATAGAAAAATGTCGTTCCTACCAACTACCGTCACAAACTCGCAAAAAGAAAACGTTAAAATGCCATAAATCATACTGAAGTACAGAATTTGCGACAGTTTTTTCATTAATCAAACCTGTGAATAAAGGGTTATCTATCAAGTTATATAAGTAACCGAAACTTTTTTAAATTAATAAATAAAATTCAATCAATTCTATAGGAACAGGGAGATGGGGTTGAATATATTCGCCACAAATTACCCAGTAGGGGTGCTTATTTAGTCCCAACAGAATAGATTTCCTTGCTTTGCTAATGGAATTCTCGTGTTAAACACATAACGGTGGAAATTGAAAAACAATTACTATAGCGGCAACAGTATAAAATGCATTATGTGTGTCGTATCGTTCAATACATAAGCCACAAGCCGGGATTAAATGGAAAATGTTATTGTATAATAAATCGCGCTTTTGTTCGGGTTCGGTTTTCAAGTAAAATTGTATTTCGGTAGAAACGGATCAATGCTACTTTTCACTAATCTGGAAAAATAGGTACCAAGGGTTCACATAAATCTCGAGTAAACATCACCTCCTTCAACAGAAATTCAATTTAATATTAACAAACGGCTTAATTTAAAGAATTTTGGTGAAACTCTTATGCAAATACTTGAAAACAGGTAGACGCAATTTCGGCGGAACGAAAGAAAATTGTCGGCATTCTTGCCTTGAAAAAGATTTTAAAATGTTCCCCGTCATGCCACAGCTTCCGTAATTTGATGGCGATTCCCCCTCCCGCTGACCTACATATTCATTTTGAGGAAAAATCGCATTGCAAGATGTAATTCATCTCACTTTGAAATTATCTAACTGGTCAAGAACGCTGTTGCATACCGTGACACTCACAACGTACTACAGAAACCCGTAAACCCTCAACTAAATGAGGTTGAGAAACTCGGGGTTTTCATGACGAAGGATCTCATTAGGATGACTAGTTGGTGCCATATATTAGACCTAATTTAATTAAATTTTGCAAGAATGCAAGCAAAGCGGAGATGTGATTTCTTTTACAATGACTTTAGCTCCTAACTACCTATTAATCAGATTTACCATACGGAAATTAGATACTAATATATGAGCGATGCCGTGGTAAATTTCAAATTTGAAACCATGTTGTACATTGTTCATTTTAATGAAGTGCGACAGCTCATTCTTGTAAAAAATGCGAAGATTAAGCATGTAATATTTATAATTGTACAGTATTGGCAAAAGGATTATTAATAATACGTCCGCGACCTAATGAATCTATTGCAAACATTAGCAGAAGCATTCCAACAAAGCTATATTTTGTCGCACGGGATTCATTACTAAGGCATCTTCCACAAAACTTAGTTTCTCCAATGGGAAACATAAAAATTACTAATACTTTTTGTAAAAGCTAATTGAAAGAAGGTCAAACTGATGCTAATACCAGAATCGTGGGATCTTTCAATTTTATAGTCTTGTTCTTTGAAATAATTATAAAAAAAAAGTAATCGGCTCTGTCAAATATAGGTTTGAAATTCACGTAGGGACTTGGGATTCAATGTACGAAATTTAATTCTGATAAATCAGACCCTTAAGCCCACTTTTAGATTACTAGAAGAGATGATGCGCCTAGATGGAAGCACCAATCGCAAGATTTTCTAAAAGAATCAGCTCTTGAGCCATAGCATACATCAAAATATAGCGGTTCAATTCACGTAAAATCATATAATACACTTGGGTTTCACAAGCATGGATTTCCCTAGGTCGAAGTTCGTATTCGTGGTATGTGAAGTTACAAAAATTAACAGTGGTTCGAACTCCGAAATACGTAAATGGATTTTCTTTACGTTCCGGCCAGATTGCAGAGAATTTATGCGGCTTCAGATTTCTTAGGTCAAGGTGTGTACTTGTTGATGATGAGTTAATTATTTTCGATATAAAAGTCAATGCACCCGTAGAATAATTTATTTTTATTAGTTTGCGCAATTGTAAAACAAAATTAATTAGTCGTCGCTCAGCACAAAACAACGCACGTTGTCACGTATTTCTCTTACTAAATTCGCTACAGTGTTTCCATTCACTTTTACTCTTTTAAAAGAGGCAATAACTTAGGTTTCTCCGCATTCAAAATTTTTACCGAAAGACGCGTCCTCTATGTGGTCGCTGCTCGACTCTTCTTCCACTTATACTTTTTTTACGTTAAGCTCCCTTTATTTTGAGATCGCAACTTTTAGCGCGAACGACCTATACCCTCAGGCGATTGCTACCCGTCCTCCCATTTTTGTTACTTTAACTTCGGCGCGGAAATTATAGTACTCGTCCCTAAAGGAGCCTCGTACTTTAATATTTCCTCGCCAGTAATGTGTCATTTTCCTGACTTATGTAATTAGAGCAATTCCAAGCACTATCTTAATTACTCCGTCGATTTTATAAACAGAGCGGATAGGAGTACTGTAGGATGTATATATAGATATTATAGATTGATTGATTATTATCAACGTCTTGTCACGTCAGATCTGATTTTATGTTTATAAAAATAAAGTTTTAAAGAGTTTCTCTGGCAATCTTTGTGATCAAATCACTATTAGGCAAGTTCAAGAACCAACTAACATAGTCGCGATAGTGGTTTTTATCTCGTTACGTAATACCATGGTATTATTTTCGTTTTCAGGTTGCTCTGAAATCCGACGTGTATAACATTAACTTTTTTACCACCCGCATGCATTGCATTGGGGTAAAAAATGACCCCCATTTTTTTACGGAAATATTTGAAGAATCAGTACTCCAAATCAAACAAATCCTAGAAATTCTTTAAAAAGCATATTTGTGTTGATAGCGGTTGCATACGAGTGACATTATTACCACACAAGTCAAGGTCTAATGGAGCAATATCACGAAAAGGGCACTATCTTTCCTACCACTCTCACTAAAGGAGTATGACATAATCAGGGCCGATAGCGGCAAATTTTGAAGGATGACAAAAAAACAAATTGGGGAAATAATTCTACAGCACTATCGGGGAAAAATAATATATCCTCTTAAGAAATTGAAGTTGTTACGCACACTCTTACCAACTGAAAAGTAATCATGAAATATGGAATAACATAACCTCACATTTCGACGAAATTATCTGAACTTTGTATTAAGATTGTGGCTTTTCCCGCAAATTATTTTTTGAAAATGCTGAATTAAAGTGCCCTCTAGCCTAGCCTCTAGCCATTTTTATTATTTCATTTTCGTTCTTGGGAGGGGGGGGGGCTTAATAGCGTCACGTAACCGTTAGATTCTCTGAATTCTCTGAAACACGATTCAGTGGTTACATTTTCTTGTTTGTATATTGGATTTCATTGTTTAAACTGTAAAATAAACCTAAAATTCTTTATTTGAAATTGATGTCATTTAATATTTAGGAAAACCACAATAATTTAATTAATTTTTAATAATTAAATCATTGTGAACAAATTAGGAGAAAGAGTGTAATAACACTTTTCTGTAAAGAGTAAAATATAATTTTGGTGGGGGTATAAAATGGTTAGGTGAGGGAGGGGGCGATTTCGAGGGGCCCATAGGCGTAAAATATGTAGATCCGGCCCTAGACATAATAATAAAGATTATTGAATCAGGAGTCAGTATAACAAACTAACATTACGAATACATTAAATTTCTATCGAACTAATAAATCAATTACATTAAGTCTAAAGAAACAAATCATTGTAGGAAAACGTAGTGAAGATTGGTGTTATAATAATAGTGTTATAAGCGTACGCGTAGAAGTCTCCGTAAGCTCCTTTCATATCATTAAATATGCTTTCCATATTATCAGCGAACAATTTGCCTAACCAAGCATCAAACTGGGGATCTGCTGTGTTGTAGTCAAATGTTAATTTTGATGTAACGAAGCTAACGGCAACATCCGTGATGGTGACATGCTTCGTATCACCTTCTCCCTCGATATCTCCGGTAATTTGTACTACACCTACATATCCCTCTAAAATTTATGGAGTTTTACTAGCATGGCAGTGATACCATATTTACCATGGTGATGAATCACCTTTCCTTTACTGGTAACATTGAAGCCATCAAAAAAGGCGTTCTTATACTCGTAGTCGGTTTTGAACACTACATCTGGATTACTTATGTTAATTGCAAAAGTCAGGGTGTTGTTTGTAATTGAAGACCTTAAACGCAATTCTGTACCTATTGAAAATCAAATGGCTACTTGCACTCACTCGACATGTGTAACAGTACTCATTGCATGGTTGTACATCTCAACATCGTGATAATATTGGTCAAATGTCCACACCTGACCAGCTGGCACTACTCCTTGACTGAGTCTCATTGGCTGTACGGACGCAACATGGAAAACGGAGGGATCTGAAAGTTTGAGTCGCATTCATAAATTTGGCATTGATCAATGTTTACCATTTTGAAGATGCCGAAGTACCGTCTGGATCGTTGTCTTTAAACAATCATCGTCAGTGATTGAACATTTCTGTACGTCAGACGCTAAAATGAATATTTCGCACACATTGTCACAGGAACTATCAGATACTTACGCAACTGAGAGTTGCCAGTGCAAAAGAACAATGTAAACGTGAGCACTGTAAGTACTTGTTGAACCATTATGGGGTATCTTTCATACATAACTAACATAAGTGCGACAAAGCAAGACTTGTATAGAGTAGTGTACCATTAATTTCGTAAATTCCCGCAGCATAAACATAAGATGCACATATCATTGATAACCTCTCAACTAAATATCTACATTGGACATTGCACAAAACAAGTAATAATGCTTTATGTCACGTAGGATACTACAATAGGTATAATGCGTATGTACAAGTCTTGTAATTTCCAGTATAGGTGACATTAGGAAAGGTAAGGCTGTTGACTCGGCTGTTGAGTAGGTATTATTTCCAATGTAACTATTAGAATAGATTATAGATCAGATGTCCTTGGATACTATTCGTATCCACGCTCCAAAATTTCATCACTCTGATAAAGTATCATGAAAAATACTTGACACATATCTCGAACGTATTTCAATATTAAAATACTTTATGGAAGTCACAAAGCAGACACATTTGAAGAATTGCTTCGTTTTGGGCTTTTAGTTCTGGATGATTGTACAATGGACAGTTCATCTAGCAATTATAAAATGTGACATAACCAGAAAAATTGCGGTGTACCTACTTCTACTTCCTCCTCGGAGGCGCATAAATATAAAACGACTATTCTACTTTCAAGCAATTATGGCTTTATTAAATTTCGTTGGACCGAGGTTTAATCTTTCCTTTTATTCCAACGCTGTTCGCGAACTAACAGCCATTGTGAATAGAGCTTGATAACAATTTCATATCGATTATAGTTATTTTAATGATACAAGTTCGTTTATGAACGTCATAATGAAACGCGTTTAACGTTAAATTCACGAGGCGTAGCCGAGTGATTTTAGTTACACTAAATAACGTTCATTTAGAACGTGTATCATTCAAAATTTAATCTACGACGGCTCAAATAGATTTCATGCGCATTTTTGTGTTATCTAAACGTTTTCGTAAATTATAATCAAAATTATCAAGTGTCCATACTAGTGGATGTCATGGTAATCACGATTGTCAAATTTGACGTTTACTGTAGAAAATAGTAGTAGTTATCATTTGCGTGCATTTATGAATTCATAAGTAATGTATTTATGAAAGCCGTAATGACATCCAATTGGCCATGCTAAATCTGTCATAATGCCATCATCGTAGATTAAAATTATTTGTTAATTTGAGTTCAAAAACAACCAATTCAGGTACCAATAAAAATGGTGTACTATTATTTCAGAAAGTAAAGAGAAAGAGTGGGGTAATTTTTGTAATAAAGTGTGACCAAGAGGAAATGCTGCATTCTTTTCTTATTTTGAAAAGTGCATCCCAAAAACTCCCATTCCATGACATTTTAATGGAATATTATCAGAGTATTGGAAACAAACCTGAAATATGACGATTTTAATATGATCTGTCAGGAGTGTGACATACAATATAGCTCACTACCTGGCATACTATAAGTCTTATTCAATTGAATCACTTGCTCCACTCGCTCGCAAGCTCGCTCGTGTCGCAACCGTGACCCTTCTGAATAGTAACCGTCGTAACATGCTTGTAATATTATCAAAGGCGATGTGTGAGAATTTTAGATTGGAAGTAACAAAACAATTGAGCACTCGTAAAAACATAAGTATCCGCGAATGTAAAAAGAGAAAAAAATCTACATCATCATTCGTTTTCTGAAAAAAAAAACAACTGAATGCTGCTTTATTATGGGAAATAAAATGTTGAACAACTTTCACACAGTGTGTAAAGCGATGGGGTATACAAAAGGGAATTTTTTGTAAAATATTGATTTATGAAAAAAATGTATTCTTCATGATATTTTTTGCTTGCTCTGAAAGTACCAATAACGTTTCGATAATCTAAAATTTATTTATAGAAATCTGGAAAAATAATAAAATTAATTTTCTTTATTGAAAGTTATCATTCTACATTATAATTAAGATTGAGTATTGCTATCAAACCACAAACAATCGAAACGTTATTGGTACTTTCAAAGTAAGCAAAACATATTATGAAGATAAAATTTTTTTCATAAATCAATATTTAAAAAAAATTCCCTCTTGTATACTCCATCGCTTTACACACTGTATATAAAAATTTTGTATGTAGTCGATATTTACTGAAATATAGTTACACTACATTCCATACATAATGGGCACCGTGTATAATATTATGATATACTTGACACATAGTATTAATAAAGGAAGACAGTCTTCCTTGCAATCTTCACTCAACTAAGTTGGCTTTGGAACAAATAACAGAAATATATACAGCACTAGATGGCCAAGTTCGCCTCGTAACAACAACAAGTCAGATGGTAAAACCAGCAAAAGGCGCATTCAAAACAATAATACTCTTTACTCGCTCATCAAGACAGTATTATGAAATGTTTATACAACAAGTAGATGTTCAAATAGGTTCCTATTTAACTACGTAAGGAAATTAATTGTATATAAACGTGTAAATATTGTGAATAAATTTGTATTTAATGAACCTGGGGTTATTATTATTTATTATACAAGACGATAAAGGGATATTTTAAACATTGCGTGAAAGATATTGCCACGAGTGAATTAACTTTCACGAGATGGTTAGTTTCCATTTATCATCGTGTATAATACAAAACTTTATTTTATAGCAGAAGCAATATAAATCATTGTAAAGCTTCTGACAATTCTGAATTTAATTTAGAGACGTCAAAAATAGCAAGCTTAGGTTCGGCCGTTGCGATCGTTGCTATAGAAACAGAATTGTCATATGTTCTGGACGTCATTTTATCGTGCATTTGAAATAAGAATGACAGATGTCATTAGAATGCACACTCATCTGTTTTACTTTATCTACCCTTACGGTTAAAGTGATCACCCTATCCTTACGGTTAAAAAACGGCTTAGCCTGCACATTCAAACCTATTAAAATGTCATTTTAACATATGCTATAAAATTAAATATTTTATATGTGCTTTTCAGTCCACAATTTTGGTAAAAGTGACGGTTTACCACCTTACATCCTACCCCAAATACACTCAGTCTCCTACCGTTTTCGATTTTCGTACTTTTGAGTCTGGATTGTCAGTTTTAATGGGGGCATTTTCTATAAATGACTACAATTTTTGTTAGCTATTATAGGGTGATTGTTTTTGTGTAAAATTGCCATATTTATCATTGTTATTGAGGGGTAAATAGTGACCAGTCGTAGTGGAACTTGGATCCATTTTTATTTAGTCAACAATATATTCATCATTTCACATTCGATTTGTATTTATTGTCGAGAGTCAATTAATTAGTTCGATCGAAAATAGGTACCAAGTTTTGATTTTTAGAATTAAAAGAAAATGCCAAATTTCAGTACGATAATTGCATTAGAATTTGTTTTAAAGCTAACCATCGGTAAAGTAAAACTTTTTTCAACAGAATTCTGTCTGCAGTGTAAAAAGCTCATTTAAATTAAGAGGATTAAGAGTTGACCCCTGTATTGCAACACATAGTTACAGAATACAGTGGCATCTCCACAATTAAAAATCTGATAGAGGACTCCAACAATTTTTTTCAACGTTTCACCATGTCCTAAGTAGCGCCATTGAATAAGTAATCATTTACTTATTCAATGATGGTAGCGCATTTACCACCACAACGCTTGTTAACTGTGACTTTTCGTTTTCATTTGCAGAGAATCCTCAAGGGAAAGGCGCCCTTTATCGACAGTTTAAAATAATAATTGTGTAAAAGTGTTAAAAGACACCCGACTACGAATTTGAGTAAAAATTTTTTTCTCCAATTACGTAGCAGAGAGTGGATAAAAGCTGTTAAATATTAAAACTTTATCGCATTATACAGAAATCGGGTAGAGGTACAAGAATTATAAACTTTAGATTTTCGTACGCCCTTTACTTTTAGTACGCGAAAGCACTTTGTGTAAGCTTTTGAAGTGCAAATGAAAATAAGTGAGTCAGGAAAAGGGCGTGAATATCAACTTAAAGCACAAACGATAATCTCGTTACGATTCCATTTGGTCTTTTGCGAATAGGTCACGTGAGACAATTGTTAGAGAGAGGGTATGGTGGTAAGGGCGACATTTAATAATTGACCCTTTAGTGATTTCGGTGACAAAATTTATTTACACGTTCTCCAACTAAATTGCTCTTGGTGAGACCTTTGACCTTTTCAAAGCTCGCCTAAAGTGGGGCACGCTCTAATTATACTCATCGTACAAAACACGCGATTTTTTTCGATTAGGTGAGCAAGGGTAGACAAAAGCAACACTACCTTTGTACTCAGTGCTTCAATATTCAGAGGAATTATGGCATGGAAGTATTCGCAGCACGGTAATTGACCTGCATCTTATGTAAATACATTTTCTTCATGTAAATTAACTATCATTCAACAGAAAACATCGGCCCTAGGCAACTTCGAAGGAAGCTCATAATCTAATGGAATCACGCGCAACTTTATAGAATACGTTCACACATTTTGTGGCATTGCTTCCTATAGAGTCTTTGAAAATTGGTTTGGATAGACTTTGTGCCACCAAAATGCTCACTGTTCAACAAGTCGTTAGATTCAAATCTGCTAAACACTGAAATTACGTATATGTCACAGAATCAAATTCTTGACATTGGAAGCAGAATGGTAACCTCAACACAAATTAACGTGTAATGCAATACTGCCTAAATGAAAACCTGGAACTGAATTTAGAAAATTACCTTGCCGCATATGTGGAAGCTGTGACATAATCAAATAAACTAAAGGAAATTCATGTTAAGCTGACACGCTTTCGTAGATCTTGACAATCCATATCACGAGACGTGACATTCGCGGCGTGTTTCAGTTTTCATATACAATTTCCACAAAACAATTTGCTTTTTATACCTACCTATTGTATAACACTCAGGTGTTCTGTTACTGCCGGCTTTTTCTGTATTTTGTATATTAGATTTGATATTAGATTTAGATTGAGGTTCTTATACTTTATATTTGCCTCTTTGTATCTGTATAAACAAGATTTCTTTCGAATTTATAAGCAGAAAGCGCTTTGGAAGCTTGGATTATTTATTGGTATAGTATAATCTGATGAGTATTTTGGGTAGAACATTTTTTAAATTGCGCCTTCCTTTCCTCTTTTTTCGTATATTTAATTTTCTCTTGATACGCTTTTTTCGTATAAATAATGTGTATTCGTGAAAGCGGTAAGAATAATAACTAGTATTATAACCGTCACCACATTCAAGAAAACTGCCCAAGGGGCAGTCTCTTGGGGTTGCGGTTGTACACTTGCCGTACTCATATAAATGCTGAAAAATGAACGAGTTCGTCAGAAACATACCCAACTTTACTCACAATCAAAGTAAGGGCTGTTTGTATAGAACCGACTTTCGGTTTTCTCTTTTTAATATATAATATTATTTTATTAAAAAATTACGTTAGCCACGTCGCTCACAATTAGAGCAAGTGCTTTTTCACCTCTCCAAGGAAAAATTCCATACTATATGTAACGTTATATTACTTTCCGTTTGATATTATCGATTTGGATTCCGCTTAAGTAAGCCTTGCTCTGTGCTGTTGTTTAAATTCGACTTTGGAGTTGTTTCTCTTTCTCTTTGATATATTGGTGACTCCATTGAAACGTTTTACAGATCTGTATTTTGCATTTAACCATACGAGGTATGTTACATTATTACGCAGCAATTTTTTTTTCATTGGGTGTTATTTCTAGGGCTTTAGCATTCGCTCAAGTTTTAACGTCCTCGCCCTTTGCTTATAGTTTCCTTATTGTTTCTCATCTTACTTCTTTTGTATTACCTTTTACGTTGATTTACATGGATTTTACTTACCTACATCGTGTATATAGCTCCTTTCTACCTGACGCTACGTACTTTGTTTTATCATTACCGCATATTTAATTTTACCGATAACGATACCGATCTTAATTTGAAGATTACTTTTATTACTCCGATAATTCTTTCCTGTTCGATTACATTGTATCCTTCATATTAGCTATGTTGTACCGATATTAGTATGGTGGCTTTTTAAACAAGTTTTTGAAGTTACCGAAACTTTGTCCGAAGCCGATATTTACAATTTTTTAGTCACGTTATTTGTTTACTCCGAAGAATCGGCTCATATTATCTGGGTTATGTTTTGAATTGATTAGATTGTATTGTTATTGAAGCGAAATTTAGATATTTGAGCATCGCAAAGTATTTTTGTGGAACACTTTTATGCTGTTATACCCGGACTGTAAGGTCAGTAGTAGGTGATCAAAATTTTACTTTGACTAGTATAAAGTCATTCGAATTATTGATTCTTTTTGAGTATTAATTACAGTTTTAGTATACGATTAGCCTCCGTGTCAGACGTTAACATTGCTATTTTGCAATATTATGTGCAGCGCGATTCACTAACGTTTTTATTTGTTTATTGTGTCATTATCTGCTACAGACTTCCAGAACGCGCCCTTTTGAATTCAGACGGTCGCTACGACTATAATTCAAAGATAAATTTTGCTATTTTCGTAGGTTCCCTAATTACCATGATTACATAATATTGGTTTTCGATACAATCGAATTATAATTATTGTTTTCAGCGGAAGCCTGTTTTGATATTTTGAACCGCCATCTTATGAAGAAAACACCACGTGATTTATTAGTACTGGCTCCTGACGTACATAAAAATTATTTACCTGGAAAACCTGAATTACTGTTTCTGTTTTAACCGCAAGTATTACATCTTTGGGAAAAATATTTCTATTGTGAATTGGTTGGATACTTCTACTTTTACGTACATTACCATTTGTCTTTACGAAGAGTACCTTTTGACACCGATGCTACGATTTTATCCAAGTTACTTTTTGTTGTTCCGAGGATTCATTCACGTTAGTTTACTTACGTATAAATCCGTCAAATTACTTTTGTTGTATAGATATTTCCTTCTCCTACTACAAAAATGCTTCTCCTACTACATAGCGAAACACTACAACGCTCTACCGGACTCTTTCAAAAATGTATCTTTGTTGGCATTCAAAATAAAAACAAAAAAGTGGCTGTTTGAGAGTCAATGTATGTGTTAATTAATTAGAATTTGATTACTTGTATTGGTCTATTTTTTTTATTTTTTTTTTATTTTTTTTTTTATATACGCTACAGAATAATTTTTTTTTTCTCTTTAAATTTTATAACTTAGGATTCTCATTCGCCATCATAAGTAAATGTATATATGTGTTGTGGGTAAAGTGTAAGAGCAGATATTTTAATCTGAACTTCGCCCATTCACTGCGGTTCATAAATTCGATTCTTCTTTTCTTTGTATATGTTTATATATTATTTTAGTTGTGTTTTTTTGAACGGAATGTGAATAAAGGCCATTATTATTATTATTTAGTTATTTTTGCTTTGTAAAGAAGTTTCTTAAATTACCGATAACGATTAACTTTGTGGATTGCCGTTGATATCGACAACTCGTGTAAAACGAAAATTGAATTATCGCTTTCCATTTAATATTAATTACGGTTCGAGTCACCCGACGTGTCAAACATTCGATTTTTATATACAATCGCTATCACTCCTCTCTTTTGTTTTGTGTTTTATCTAACTGCAGATTGGCAGAAAGCGCCCTTCTGAGCTCAGAGAGATTACGACCCTCTAGTTCTATAGTGATATCTTATTTAATTAATGTGTTTTTTGTGTTATTCCTGCGGAAGTATATTTCGATAATTATTTTGTGACTACAAGTTGGTGCCTTTTTGTAAATTACTTTTGAATTTAAATTTTGATTTTGATAATACTCATATACACTGTCCAAGGTAAGGAAGGGGAAATTAGAGAAAAATTGCGCATTTAAAAGGGGCAATGAAGACGTGTTTTTAATTTTTTGTACACGTTCAAATGACATAAGAAAAAAATAAAAACAAAATCAGAAATTTCGGTTTTTCTGTCATATCTTCGGAAGTAATCGGAATTTTCTGGGCTTCTTTACTGCAGGATAATAAACCTTCAATTGTGCAACGTTTCCCTAATTTGGCCATCTTCTATGGTTTCCGAGATACCCTTACTTTGGACATTCGTAACGTTTGGAAATCATTTGTTATATTTTATATTTTTGAATTAAATTACAATCTATTTCAGTAGTTAACTCTTGACTACAGTTATTTTTTATGTGCAACCTCCCCCTCACTAAGTATTTCCTCTCTTTCCAAATTTGCTATAAGACTTAAGAGCATGAAACAGATTAAATGAGACCATGGTCATGGAACCGTAAAATGATTGTACATATAATTAGGATATAATGCCTTACCTTTGTATCTTTGGCATAGTAAAGCTTGCGTCCCTTTAGCTTGAAATACCGCCTTCTCCATCGCTGAAACGACCACGTTTGTTTCAGCAAGTACCCTTCCTTTAGGGAAACCTGAAACGAACACAAAAAATTAAACTATTTAACAAAGTAAATGCAAATTGGTGAGAGGGTTATATTGGTTACTTTGAAGTTATACATATCTTCAGTAAGAGCGGTCTTGGAATGAAAGGGGAGGAGGAAGGTTATCCAGTTTTTAAGAGAGAGGAAATTTAATTACTTAATGCTGGTTGAGCCGTCGTAGTGTTCAAAAAAGTTCAAATAACTCGGTAACTGGGCGCGCATCGTTAAAACAACCCAATTAAACAGTTCGGATAAAATAAATTAATTTAAACTGTCCTTTTTTAACATTTTGGTTCTATCCTCCTCAGGAGAAATATCCACAAGATATTGGTACAAAGACGAATCTAATTTTTTTCAATAGCTTAAAGTGACTCATACATTTCTACAGTAAAAGCAAAAGGACTAATTCAAGCGAAGGCATTATTAAATACCCTCCGGAATTATTTTCATGCGCAAATTATTACGCTTGGAAAGAAGAAATTAACTCGGTTATTTAACTATGCATCGTCGTGCACTACAGTAGGAGATTGTAACCGGATACGACCACCTTCCGGTTCGATTCAGGGTTAAACAATACCTCTTTTTGCTTCAAACCCTAAAATCGAGGATGGCCCTAGTGCCGAAATTCGAAGTACTCGAAGGGTAGATACAGGCGTCATGTAAGTAAGGTAAACCAAATCTGTGTATTTGTATTTCAATACGGACTATGTCTTCCTAGATAATATTTTGACGAGTAGAATTACGGAAGTTTAAACATTCTTCTCATTACCTTTAAAACCAGAGTTTAAAACCGATTCCTACTTTCCACGATTTATTTTCAGTTTTACTTGTGTAGTCACTACCACATATACAAATGCTTCCACCCATTTTCAATACCACTTTTTACGTTCTAATGTTCTATGTTCCATAATTCAATAAGTTTCCCATAATAAATAACAATTCCGTTCATGTAAAATTGATGCTATTTGGAAACTGCATTACAGCCATTTTTTTCATCGGTCAATTTTATCAATCATTTCAAAAGTGGTTCGTTGGAAGCTCTGTGTTCGCAAAGGGATGATGTTGCTTTTCCCTTGATGCCAGGGGTATAAGAAATGAACGTTTAAAAGCCCTGAAATACACAAGATATTTTGTAGATAAAAATCCCAGTCGAGCATAGGTAGTTTCCAGCACTTACATTTAATAGGGAATCTGTAAATACTGTTAGTAAACCTGGTAGGTTCTTATTAGGCCATGGGTACTCAGTTCCATGACCCTTTTGCTTTGATGTCGCTCCACGATAGATAGCAACGAGATGTCAGATTTCATTAAATTTTGTATGGCAACAAAACTGGCTTTCATGCGAAAAGATGTATGAAACTGCTATGATAAATAAAGATATTTAATATTTGCACGCAAAATTACAACTAAGCTCGCCTTCGCATTTACGTTTGATCCCTTACAATACAGAATATGGTGGTTACGAGTAATTAAATTAGTTCAGTTCAAACATACTTAGTGGCCCAGTCAAGTAGAAATACGGATACGGTGCCAGAGGCAATAATTATTAATAACAACGGGTATCCTAGTAGCGCTTCGTTCATTGTACAGCTTTGAGCTCAGTCAATATTAGTCTCTGAACCTACCAGTAAGATTAATTAAAACTACTTCGCATGCTGTCCCAATGCATCGACGTCATTCGCTTTGTGAGGTTTTAATCGTAATGAAATTAGTTTCGCTACCTACACGTAAACGTCTGGAAAGTTTACAATACACACAATAATATCGACATTCAATTCTTAATGTTTAAGTACGAGGGGATATTTTATATACCTAATCTACCTTTGTAACGGAGTTTTTGATTTTTTCGCATTTTTGTTTACAGAAAATAAGTACGTTTCAGCTGAGTCACATCCTGTCTGGATAATAAATGCGCCACCACCACATTTATAGTTGGCACAATAACCGTTGGACTTTGAACGATAACCAACGTTTGGACTTTGAACGGTGAGCTTTTAAACCTTAAACTTTACACTGACTTAATTTCCACGATCATCACATCCGTTACTCTTTCAAGCCACTATTTAGTCCTCGTCAGGAAGAGGCCGAAAAAAATTTAACGGTACACGATATATGGCTGTCACTTGCAAACCCTTGGACTGTAAATTGACATGCTTTTTAAGGTCACCAGTAAGAGACGAGTGACCTTTGAACTCACCTTGGCCTACTTTGTACGCTAGCCGCAAGGTGTCTAGCGACCTTGAACGGTCCAGGTACGGCTGTGTATCACTATTCAATTTCCACACTACCTTTTCGAAGAGAAACGCTAATATCTCGACAATATGGCCTAGGATATGTTGGTGAATCAATTCCAATGCAAATTTAAGATGTGACCAGTGAGAACATATCGGAAAATAAAAATAATTTCAAGGAATCTCAAAAAGCGTTTCGAGGGGAGGCCAGACAGTCATTAATTGCAATACTACTCTAAGTATAACGGTAATAACTCGGAAGTCGTTCAAAGGATCTTCAAGATGAAAAGTTCTAAAAGGTCTAATCATTTAAAATAGTTCAATAATTGAAAAAATTAGAAGTCTAAGCACCGTGTAAGAAATCATAAAAGTATAACAAAGTTCCGCGGGCCATTTAACTGGTGCAGATCTTTATGAAATCGAAAAAAACGGATCAAGTTGAGTCTAAGGAACTCAAGAAGTCTAAGCAAATCACTACCTCTCAAGGATCTAGTTGACAAGTTTCAGGGAGAATGTAAGGTCAAGCGTCCAAGAGATCTACTAAGTAATATAACATATCTAGACTGTGAAGGCACACGGTAAACTTGCTCTGATTGGTGGGATGATAATCGAGCCACTTGGATTACAGTTGACCTCCAGTATTTCCACACCGATCTCGCGTAAGGTTTCTTCAGGTATATTACGAACTTTGCGCCCATAGAGACCATCAAATTCGCAGCCTAACTTAGGTACTGCAACTCTTCGTGTTCCCCTGCAACATCTTCTTCCTCCAACCTTCTACGGTATTCCGCATCACCTGACGACACGTCCGTTATCTTGCAGTTCTCATGCTTTGCCCATACTTGGGTTTTTTCTCTAGGCCGAGTTGCTTTTTAAATACCAAATCTATTCCTCGCGACATTCGAAGGTCGCTGGCTACACAATGGGCTAGAGAGTATTATGTCAACAACACAAAGAGATCTTGGTTCTGCTCCATGGTCACACCAAAAGAGCCTTCTGTGCTTTCAATTCAACTCTTGGAACGGCTCAAATATAAGTCATATCTGGTCTTAGTCAGTATGCGAGCTAGCGCTGGTTAATTGTCGTCTCCAGCAAACGGTGCCAGTAAAAACCCAAGACCCATTGGACATCTTCTTAACCCACCTGGTACACGACTTCGTTGATACATTTCAGAACCTTTTCTGGACCGTCTTTGTCACCATAACCTTGACAGTTTGAACTTAACACACGCAGTTGACACTCTTCCATCTGGGAAATTACCTGGTATGTACGTGTACCTATACGGTTGTACAATGTCCGGTCAAACTTCAGTTTGGTTTAACCGACAGATTTGAGAAATACGATTGGCCAATTTGTGAAATATTAACCAATCAAATCCTTTAACCCACAATTCAACTATAAACTGAAGTTTAAACTGACATTATACAACCGAGCCTAAATCGGCTGTAACAGTCGCCAAAATGAAACCTGGCATTTTTAAATATCTTACATCTACACCATACAGCTACACAATGAAAAATTAGACGGGATGTTTATCATTCACGCCAAAAAGTTGGTTTTGAAATATGAATGAGTTGATTTACGTAACAATTAACAGAGTTTTTTTTATTTTTTTTAATTTTATAATAAATTTGTCATCTACTTTTATTATTTGCTAAATACACTCTATTAACGCGACGTCAAAAACGAACTTAACGTTAATTACTAGAAGAACAAAAAATTACTGTCCTGGTGGTTATCATTAATTATGTGTATCAATTTATGCAATCGTTGTGGTTCATGAAAATGGATGAGGGAATTAAAACATGAGGGTAAATTACATTTTGGGTGTATTTCAAGCTTCAGGTGAAATCAATTTGGTTGATTGTGTTTTACCGGCGTTACTTATATAGGTAGTAAGTATAGAAAACAAATTAAAAACATTGGGTATAATTGTTTGTTCATTCCCTTTATATTTTCGCAGTAGTATTCTGATAAAAAAGTTTCCATTCCAATATTACGAAATTACTTTTTTACGGATTACAATGAGTATGAGTCGCAGGTATTTTCTGAGTTTGGGGCGAATTAAAATATAACACGCAGAATACAAAACTGAAACACAGTTTCGCAATCCATGCAACCATCGGAGACATTGGACATGATAACCGTATAACGCCATATGTACAACACAAATAACCCTTATTCATCCGGGATCACTTGATGCGACACCGCTGTCTTTTCTGCTTGAACGAAACTGGTAACTTCATACCCATATACAAAACATAAGCATTTCCACTACCAAAAGGGAAAGCGGTGAGTAGAAAAACTAAATAGATGTAGTATACCAGCAGAAATCGCCAATGAGAATGAGTAAGCTGCATGTGTAATATTGTTGCACGTTTCGGGACATTTACCCTGACCGAAAGGCATCCCAAACGGGAGATTTTTCTCTCATTGGTATGGATTACTGCAGCAAATGGCAGTGCGAGTGGGTTCTTGGGGACACAAAAATTATATACTTATCTCAATGTGATTTCAGCTTTGTTTTTAAATGAAAATTTATTATTTATTTAAAATTAATATTGCCTTTATCATTTCATGTTTATTAAAAAAATTTCATGGTCAAAAGAAATTATAATCGTATCGCAATTTCATTCATTTAAATTGTGCCTGCTTAAGGGCAATTATAGGTAAACGTACATTTTTATTCTGTGATGAAATGATACAATTTATCATCGGACTCAGAAGAACTATCACTGCCACGTGTCGTATAATTATAAG